TTTTCTTTTCCTATTCTATTTTTTATTTTCTTTTATTTTCTTTATTTCTATTATTTTACTTGTGAATAAATATATTATTTTACAAATATAACTTACTGGCAATCCATTGAATCTCTACTCATCGTAATAATATAAATACTTTTGATAATTAGTCTAAAGTAAAACTTATAAACTGTTGAAAGATTACTGCTCAATTAAAAAGAATAAACTGCTTGAACATCCTGTCTAATGGTTATATTTTACGAGAATTACAAGTTAACATTTGGCGATGATAACAGGATCATCTTTTTCTAATTAACGCAGTAATAACTTATGTGAAACACCCATGAATAACTTTAGAGAATTAATTAAGTATCAACGAAATCATTCAGCTGTATACAATAGACAAGAGCGTAATTTAGAAAACTTACTGGAAATTTTACATTAACAGATGACCCATCCTGCATTGCTTGTAACCCATTCTCTAAGGAGATTCCTTAATCTTTCCTCAATTTCTTTGAGTGGATATAGAAGGTTTTAGAAGCACTATTATATATCAGCAAAAGTTTAAAAGCTTTTCAAACTACAATTTCTGTAGAAACTACTAGTATACAAGAAGTATATTATAGCAGATACCTAATACTCTTAGATATAAACAAGTATCAATACTAACCCTTGAGTAGCAGTCGAATATTATATTAAAGTTTAGACAAAAACTGAATCATTTTGGAAGAAATTTCAAGGCGATTTACTCACTTATCTCAATATATCACTTTTAAACCTGAGTCAAAATTCTTCTCTGTCCAGAATGACTAACTCTCAAACAACTCATAGAAATAGTACTACATCTGAATTAGCAAAAGAAGATCTGACCTCTCAAGGAAACTATTTACCTGATAAGATCATAATTGCTAACACTACTCTAAGTGGAAGGGACCCTGATAAACGAACCTTAAGTTTTGATAATTCTACCTTTAGCTCTCGTAGAGGTACAGGAAAACTACCTAAATTGACCCTTACAAGGTTCTCAGATGAGAAAAATACAATCTTTAACCAAAAGAATGTTAGCCTCTTACGTCTTTCCAAATAAAAGACCAATCGTTCGTGAGGTTAACTCAAAAATAAAAAGTCAAAGGACAAAGGAATTAGTAAATAAAAGAGCTGTCATTCTACATCCTACTATGATAATTCTTCACCTTCTTCTAGTTCTGATTCTAGCGATCATCATTCTAACGATGATGAAGATAAAGACTAAAGATGGTCCCCATAATTATTTTCAAATTTCAATTGAGTTGCAACTTAATTGCACCATAAGGAAATTTAATTGCGCCACAAGTTGCAACTCAATTGCGCCATTTTTTTAATTGCGGTGACCATCTTTAATAAAGACCTATTCAATAAAAATAACATAAATGATCAAGATGAACGAAACTTCTTCAGGATGATGGAAGGATTACAAACTGTCTTTAAAACTGTTAGATTTAAAGGATAATAAGAAGCAAAATTTACTAACTTTTAAGGAAAGAAATCAGGATCCTCATAATTGGTTAGAAAGATATAATAATGCTGAATATGTAATTAGAATTTCTAACAGATGACGTCTTACATTAGTTCTATCATTTTTAAAAGGATTAGTTCTTACTTAGTACAATAAAATTAAGAATAAAAAAGATTTGCAATATTAGGATAATTCGACTGATTAATAGCATAAACATTGCTTCTTTATCTATCACTTCTTAAAATATTACTGTATAACTCATTGAAGAACGCAATAGCGTTTAGCACTTAGATGATGTAAACAATATCCTGACTAGTCAGTTGAAGATTACGCTGCCGATGTTGAATTATTGTATCTTATATTAGACTCTGATTATAATACGCCAGAAGATGAGAAAATTGAACAATTTTTACAGGGCTTCGCCCAGAATTTCATACTGTTATTGCTGCTGCTACACCCTATAACTTAGAAGAAATAATTGATCGAACACGAGTTATTGAAGCAGTATTATCATAGAATAGCATGCTTTCTAGGTATTTTTTAAGTAAAGCATATCTGAACCAAAAGGATGACGATGCTGTTGAAGATTTCACTGCTACTCCTAACCTTTAACAATTTATCGACTGAAATAATGACAAGTTGATAAAAGAATTAAACAATTAGTAATTACCTTGAATATTACGCTACACTCAGCTAATACAAATAATAACTAGAGGAATAATAATAATAACAATAATAATCGAAACAATCAAAGCTGTTATAATTGTGAACGATCTGATCACATCACTAAGGATTATAGGTAAAGAAATAATTCAGGAAGTTAGAATAATAATGGGAATAATTGATACAATTCGAACAATAGGTCCAATACAGAGGTTACTTATCATAGTTGTTACTAAAAAAGACATATTGCCAGAAACTGTAATAATCCATTAAGAGGACCTTGCTTACACTGTAGTCAATTTGGATACTGTAAATATATATGTTCAACTAGGAATGTAAATAATCCTGTTAGAAATACTGAAGGAAATGTTAATATGCCAACTGACTTTAATACTAGACAATGTGTTATGCTATCTCAAACTACATCAATATATAGTATAGGCTTTACTCTATTGTCACAAACCTCCATGACCTTTCCTATCCCAAATCTCCTGTCAATAAACACCCAGAGTATGTTTGCCTCTTCGTCTTAATCTTTAAACTATTAACAGTATCTCTAGAGGGTAAGTGTATCATTAAAAGAATAAACTCTTCAGAATTACTAAGAGCTGTATAAGTAGTTTATTGTAATGCTACCGTTGACAATAAACTAATATATTTAATTTTAGATTCAGGATTAGCTGAAAGTGTAATGTTTAAGTCCTTTTTGCAACAATTAGGGTGAAAAATCGAATCAGCTTCTACTATCATGATGATTAATATATAAAGAGAACGATCACGATCTTTAAGATGAGTTACTAATATTCTCTTACAAATAGATGGTATAGAAGTCCCTATTAACAGAATCAACTAACTACTATATAGTAGCAGGAAATGATTGGCTTACCAAATATCAAGGACGACTTTATTGGAACTGTCAAAAATTTACATTTATCTGAAACAATAAAGAATACCAGATACCTATGACCTGTTAGAAGAAACTACAGTTCGATCATTTTTAACAACTCATTGACATTGTTAAAAATCCATCAGATGAAGAATATGAAAATGAAGAATTAATAGCTCAACAACATTATATGGTATTAAAAAACTACAATAACTCTATTCCTTTAGCTGAAAGTAATTCAAAACAAATTTTGGTAGATAGACAGAAATATTTCCCCAATACTTTAAAAGTTTAAACCAGAAATTTAATGTTTAACTATCCAAAAATATTAAATGGAAATATCATTGGCAAGGATCAGAAAATTGATGTTAGTACCATAATAAATTAGATAAAATTGATGATAACTGCTAACTTTGTAAGAAGGAATGGGATCATTGGCAACTACTACTAAATATTCTAGATGAATCACCACCTTGTAAAAAGACCTATAAACATCTTAATGGGTCTCAATAATAGCAAATTACTCAATTTTTACACAAAAATAGTGATGTATTCGCTGAAGATTTATTACAATTAGAATATATAACGATTGAGACGCATCATATACCAGTTAAAAATCTGATACCTATACGATAGCACGCATACAGAGTAGCTCTTTTAGAATAAGAATTTATCAAAGATAAAGTTAGTAAGATGTTGAAATACAACTTGATACAACCTTCTGAAAGTCCTTGAACCTCACCTGTCATTCTCGTTTGAAAGAAAAATGATAAACTTTGGTTTTGTATTGATTACAGAAAATTTAATAGCATTACTCAATAAGACAGACATCCCTTATCACATATCAATGAACTGCTTAATATGTTTGGAAAAGCTAAATATTTTTCAACGTTAGACTTGGCTAGCGGATATTAGCAGGTTACCATAGATCCAAATGATTAAGCCAAAACAGCTTTCATAACCAGTCAAGGACTTTATGAATTTAAAGTGATGCCATTCAGATTAATAAATGCCCCTGTAACTTTCCAATGTTTGATGAATAAGATTTTTAGAGAAGAGATCAGACAGTTTGTAGCTGTATATCTTGATGATATCATCATCTTTTCTGATACCTTCAATATACATCTACAACATTTACAACTTATTTTTAAATGATTAAAGGATGTTGAACTTAAACTTGAATAAGATAAATACAAGTTTGCTAAATTAGAATTAGCATTTTTAGGGCATATCGTAAGTGGACAAGAAAAAGAAACTGATAAAATACTTGCATAGCAATCTTTATAGGTCTAGCTTGGAGTTGCAGATGTTTTTAATAATATTAAAACATGTTGTTGTTTTTTTTTTTATTCCAAAGCATAATTTGCGAGAATTGTTGGTAACGAAATTCTGGTTTTTTAGTTTTTTATTTTTTTATTAAAAATTTCATGTAAAATATTATTAACATAAATCAACTTTTATCTAATAAAAAATAAAATGTACACACACATTTCATATATTAATAATTTATATTTTTAATATTTAAAATTTTTCCAAGATAAATAAATGTTACACGAATATATGAATTCATTTAGAAGGTTTGCTATTAAAATCATGTTATGGATTATGTAACTCACTAGGATGTGACATGTTAGTTGATTTTCAACATATTGACGATCAAATTTGTAAAATAGTTTTCACATGTTTCGTAGTCACGAATTCTTTTTATCGGTGCGCGATTAATTACAAATTTATTCACATATCGGTAGAAAAATTCGTGTTTTCGAAATTTCAACAGCCGCCTTCCTTTATCATATAGATTGTTAATTTAAAAATCATGCCACTTTCATCAAAATTTTATGTTTAAATTAATGATTATGGAGAATTTGAATTCATATACCCAAAGTACCAAATGAACATGAAGATTGGCTCTTAGAATATATTGAAGACATTTTATCGGAACTTCTAAATATAAAGTTCCTCTTGAAGAAGCAAATGAAAAGGTTGAAACTGGATGAAAAACGATCAGAAAAATTAATTCGCGTTAAAATAGTTGAGATTGAGAAACAAAGTTTAGAGGTAGCATGTTAGTAAATCGCGTTTGTAATTCAAATAAATAAACTTTCATTAAGTTTTTATTTTAAGCAATTTGAAAAAGAAACAAATGAAAATCTAGCAGAATTGACAAATTATGAGAAAGAAGATATTAACCTGGAAGAGAGAAAGAAAACGCTATTTCTAAACGGAAGAAAGTGACACCGGCAATTTCTACAGTATGTTTTATTTGTTTATATTATTTTGAAGCACAATATATTCGAGATATAAAATATGATTTTTATTATAGGATCAGAAGCGAAAATAGCATTATGATTTAATGAACAGGATTTGAATGATCGAATGGAAGAAATTGTGGGCTTGGGAAGATCTTTAGAGGCCAAGAAAGTGAACTTGGGAAAGATTAAAGGGTATGTGAATCTATTATTTTAATCTAATTATGTCGATACCTTTTTTTATATTGTAACTAGATTTAATCTTAAATAAAGGCAGGTCAGAAATTATTCAAACCAAATTGAAGAAAAGCAAAAATAACTTACTTGGTTAGAGAAAATCAATGCAAGGCAATCACCTTTGTCTAATAATATTTTAAAAAGAGATTTGATTCAAATAAAACGAGTTCGAATAGAAGCAGAAGAAGATGCTGTCACGCTTAGAGAATCATGTCGGAAAAAAAGGTATTATTATTAGGCATCAATTGCTTCTTTGTGATCATTTAATTATAATTGAACTGCTCATTTAGGAACAAGAAATCTCTTCTACAAAGAATAAAATCAAAGACATGAAACTAGAAATATTTAAAGGTTTTATTTAGCATTTAGCATTTAAATTATTAAATTAAGTATTTTAAGATTCTTATAAATATCTTTTTTACTTTAGCATTATCTTAGTAAGCAATAACATTTCAAGTCTAGTCTTGCCGATTCTCGACAAAGAGAAGATGAGGCGAAAGACTTTTAAATTCTTCTCAGTCTAGAAGACAAGTTCTTAGTAGCTCGATAAAGCTCAATGATAGTGGTCGTATCAAAGGATTATATGTAAGTTCGTCGGAGCGGAGCGTTCGTCGATTTGTTTTGCTGAAAATCTAATTATTTTAATTTTTTAATTAGGATCGTTTGTGTAACCTTGGTGTCATTGATGATAAATAAGAATGTCGCGATTTCAACTGACTGTCCTGCATTGAATAACATCGTAGTTGATTCTGTTGAAGTTGGACAAACTTATATCGAATACCTTAGAAGAAACGATTAGGTTGCGCCATGATTATTCTTTTAAATGAACTGTCTACCACGGACATGCGCCCGATATAAACACCTGAAAATGTTCCCCGTCTTTTGATCTTATTAGGCTGAAAGATGACAGGTTTTCCCAACATCTTATAAGTTACTTTTGTTGCCCAAATCTACAAAAAGCATTTAGTAAAACTCGATGGCGCGTAGTAACTTTAAGTGGTCAATTGATTGACAAATCTGGGCACTATGAGTGG